TTGGTCCGTGGCACATTGGTATTTTGTCTGGCAGGCTTCTGTGAGATGTTCCTATGATCCATGCAAGAGTGGACTCTGTTGATTTGGCCTTCCTTGGGGGTCTTGTTCTGTTGCTTCCATGCAGGTTTGGCCCAACCAACAGCCTTCTTTTGTAGGATGTTCCTGTGGGCAAACCTGGTGGCAGGGATGCCCACCTGAGGGCGTTTCTTGAGGATCTTGCCCTGTGATGCCTTGACTGGAGCTCGGGACCCGATTGCCCTGAGTAGCCAGGTCTCCACGTTGGAACTGTAGGAGCTGGTGAGGGTGTTGTGCTGGGTGTATGTCACCCTGAAGGGGCATTCGGGTTCCCTCCTCCATCTCTCAGGATTTGTAGTCTTCCTCAGAGGCCCTGGCTTGGGAACAAAGGAATCCAGGTCCCTATTGACGCTCAGGTGACTGACAGCAGAAGGGGCCCTGCCACTGGCCTGGGAGCTACTGTCCTGTGTGTCCTGCTCATTTGAGCCTATGGGGCTGCCCCTGGGCTTGAATGCCCTCTCATTGCTGCTTGTAGGGCCCCTCTCCTCTGGGGCACGGCCTGATACTGCCCTCTGCTGAACCCAAGCCAGGGGCCGGGCCAGCGGGGCCCATAGATAATGCAGCAACTTCCACAGGGCCTGCTGCAGACCTTGATGCAGCGCTTGGGGCACTGCTGCAAGGAGTGCCAGGCATCCCCTGGCAGCAGCCATCCTGAGCAACGCAAGGCCTGCCTCTCCAGGTCCAGCGGGTGCGACCTGGGGCGGCAGCAGCTGCTTCCTCTGAGGACCACCTCAGAGGAGAAGGTTGGAAATGAGCCCATTGAGGGCTGAGCCCTCAGAAAGCAAGAGGCTCCCCGCCTTGCGGGGTGGGAGCCCCTGCCGCTGGCGGCGGGGGAAGCCTCTGAGAGCTTCCCCCGCCCGCCTGTGGACTCAGTTCAGAGAGCAGATGGGTCTGGGGAGCAGGACTCTGGGTGTGGGGAGTAGGGTACTGGGTGTGGGGAGTAGGGTACTGGGTGTGGGGTTGATTGGTCCGAGGGGCTGGGCCCCTACCGGGGTCAAGCTGCACTGAATGCCGGGGTTCCTTCCTTGGTCCTGAAGGTGCACGGCGGCGCTCAGTGTGGGGGGTGCGTTCGACGCTCTGGGAGCTCCGAGACGTTTCCGTTGGAGTGTTGAGGGCGGCGCGAGCACGGAGCGAGGCGGGCGGGCCGCGGGGCAGAGCTGGCGCGCCTGGGGCGCGTGGGGAACCCGCTGCCACCCGTGGTCGTGACAGCGAAGGGCCCTGGCTGCTGTGGGGCCCTGGTGGCTTGACGTGGTGGACAGGGGCGGCCGCGCCTTCCCCTCAGGCCAGGGTTCCCCACTGAGATCCAGAGCACAGAACTGCTTCTCTCTGTGCCTTGGCCCTTGACTGCACCCTGCATTTCGCCAAGTGACATGGGGACCTTGCTCCAGCCCTCCTGGTCTGCAGAGAGCTGGGCTTCACCCTGTCTCCTGCCCTGGCACCTGCCCATGCAGCCCCACTCCTGGGGATTCAAAGGCCTTTGGAGGACCAAGGCAGACCTCATGCTTTCTACCCGCTTCCGGCTTCATTCTCTGCTTCCTGTCCACTGGGTCCATTGTGTGCTTTCCCGCAGGGAGGCCTCCCAGAGCTGTGGAAACCAGGGAGGGCATCCTCAGGCCAGGTTTCTTGCGTGCAGGCATGGGATGCAGGCAAGAGAGCAGTGAGCCTAGCTTCCTCATTCAGCTCAGTGCTTTCCACACTGCCTTGGGCACTGGGCAATGTGCTTCCTGGGTAGCTGCTAGGAGTCCCAGGACCGACCAGAGAAGCAGCAGCGGTGTGGCCAGCCCATGTCTGCTCTTCTGCTCCTGGAATTCTGGCTGCAAGCAGAGGAGCTGGGTATTCTGCCTGGGACAGGGTGGACCAAGCAGGCCTTCAGGCTGAGGGAAGGGAAGGCAGCTCCTTGGGCCATAGCAAGAGGACCACCAAGTAAAGTCCTTCTCTGTGGCTCTTTCCCACTTGGGACTGAGAAGCATTTCACTTGTAGAACAACAAAGAAGTGCCAGAAGCTTGCTGTGGGATAGCTGATTGAACACTCCTATCCACACACTTACACACTCAATTGTGATGTTACTGTTGTAATGTTTTTTTTTAAAGATTTATTTTTATTATTTTTTTATTGGAAAGTTCGATGCACAGAGAGGAGAGACAGAGAGGAAGATCTTCCATCCGATGATTCACTGCCCAAGTGAGCGCAACGGGCCGATGCTATGCCGATCCGAAGCCAGGAGCCTCTTCAGGGTCTCCCACACAGGTGCAGGGTCCCAAAGCTTTGGGCCGTCCTCGACTGCTTTCCCAGGCCACAGGCAGGGAGCTGGAAGGGAAGCGGGGCTGCCGGGATAGAACCGACGCCCATATGGGATCCCGGGCGTGCAAGGCAGGGACCTTAACCACTGTGCCACCGAGCCGGGCCCCACCAGCCCAATTTTATAAAAATACTTCACGAGGTCTAAAAAAAAAAAAAAAGAGAGAGAGAGAGAGAAAACATGTACAATTACCACATGCGCTAGCAGAACAATAAAATGCATTGAGTAGAAGCAGCATTTTTTTTTTAAGATTTATTTATTTTTTGAAAAGTCAGATATACAGAGAGGAGAGACAGAGAGCAAGATATCCTGTCCCATGATTCACTCCCCAAGTGAGCACAATGGCCGATGCTATGCCGATCTGAAGCCAGGATCCAGGAACTTCTTCCGGGTCTCCCACACAGGTGCAGAGTCCCAAAGCTTTGGGCTGTCCTCGACTGCTTTCCCAGTCAACAAGCAGGCAGCTGGGTGGGAATTGGAGCTGCTGGGAAGTGGAGCTGCTGGGAAATGGAGCTGCTGGGTGGGAAGTGGAGCCTGCCATGGGGAGTTTGCTTTACTGAAAATTTCCATAGATTTCTCAGAAACGACCAAGGGTGCAGAAAACAGAAAATTCAAAAAAACAACTTTTTTTTCGGGGGCGGGGGGAGTCAGATAATACAGAGAAGAACAGAGACACGCAGAAAGATCTCCCATCCATTGATTCATTCCTCAAGCAGCTGCAACAGCCAGAGCTGAGCAGATCCAAAGCCAGGAGCCAAGAGCCTCCTCTGGGTCTCCCAGGCAGACGCAGGGTCCCAAGGCTTTGAGCAGTATCCAACTGCCTTCCCAGGCTGCAAGCAGGGAGCTGGATTGGAAGCGGGGCTGCTGGGATGTGAATTGTCACCGGTATGTGATCCTGGCACATGCAAGACAAGGACTTTACCTGTTAGACTGCCACACCAGGCCCCCAAAAGAACAACCTTTTAAAACTGATGCAGTAAGTCCTTACACAAAACTCGTTTCACTGATATTTATGTGTTTGTGTGAGTCTTTAAACCTATACTTTCTTCTTTATTCAAATTCAGAATGAACTGTTTTATATTGCTTATTATTTTCATTGACTTGAAGGGCAGAGAGAGACAAAGATATCTCCTGCTTGCTGATTAATTCCCCAGAGTGGGTGTAGCCAAAGCCAGGAACCTGGAAGTCCCTCTGAATTTCCCACAGGGGTTGCAGCTGTCCAAGCACCTGAACCATCATCCATTGCCTCCCAGGATGCCTTGGTAAGAAGCTGAATCAAAAGAGGAGTAGCGGGGACTCCAATGGGACTCTCGAGATGGGATGCAGGCATCTCAATGGTGGCTTCACTTGCTGCACCAAAACAAACCTTTGCTTGATAGTGACTTAAGGGCAATATCCTAAAACATGATATGATTTGCCAGTGTATATAAGAATTGCCATTTCAACTAACCTGTATTAGATTCTTTAAGATGTAAATCAATTCTACACAAAATGAAAACACATTTTAATATTAAGTTGGTGTGAAAAGGAAAAAAAAAACAGCAGACAAGTTGAATGAGGCAGTTTTTTAAGAAGGAAGAAGCACCAGCTCTAAGACCTCAGCACACTCTTTGTGGAAAGCAAAGAGAAGGGAGGAACAAAAACAGCTTCACCTGCTTGTTACAAAGTTGCCTGTCTTCCTGGAAACTTTTAGCTGTCTGCCAGGAAGAGAATCTGGGCTGATGTCATTGGCTGAGGCTCACCTGCTTGTTACAAAGTTTCCCAGCACAGGAATATTGCAGTCCACCCTCCCCCCGGGCCACATTTCCTTTGTCTAACAACAGGGATGAGAAAGATGGAGTAGGAGTGATGGCCCCTACCTGGCAAGTTTGGAGAACCAAGCTATTTTAGGAGACCTTCTAATTAATGACCATCCTCCTGGCCCAAATCAAGCTTTGGTTTCCGTGTAGTTCTAAGTAACAATTCAGGGTCTTTTCTCAAAGAAACCTACACCTTGAGGAGGGTTCTGCAAGAATGTGGCCTAATTCAGTGCTGTGGCCCAGGGGCTGAGCTCCAAGCTCACAAATGACAAAGGTTAGGTTTGGGGTTGGGGCTGGGCTTGGGTTTAGGTTTAGGGTTCCCGCCCTAGGAATCAGTGGATGTCCAGGCTGCTTTCTGATGTTTTTGGTTTTGTCCCCATTTTTGTTTTGTTCTGGCAGCAGCATGCGCTGAGGGGACTCTGAGGAGACTCTTGAAAGGGCTAGGCGTTGGGAAATTCTCCACAGTCCTATCTAAGTTGCCCCATCCTTTCCAAGGTGCCCGGTGTGGGTTTCCATCCTCAGGGGTCTCTGGACGCAGTGTGGGGAGCCTTCCCGGCTCTTCTGTTCCCTGGCGATCCTGCACAGAGGACAGCAATGGGCAACCGCGACCCGGAGGAAATGCCCTGGGAGAGCCGCCAAGTCCGTGAACGGCTGACTGCGACCCAAGGCCCTAAGTGCAGCTGGGGCAGCCACAACCTCCGGATCCCCTCAAGTGGGGATGGCGCCCCTGGGCCAGCAGAGGCCTGTGGGGGCGGGGCGGGCCGGCAGAGCGCGCAGGCGCACGGCCGGAAGAGGGCGCAGGGGAGCGCGGGAGCGGGAGGCTCTGGGTGGGAGGCCCCATGGCGCCGCCTCAGCGCTGCCGCGTCCTCAGGTGCTGCAGCTGCGGCCTCTTCCAAGCGCACCAGGTGGGCTGGGCGCCGGCCTCCCGCGGGTGGCAGGTGTGGTGTGGGGTCGCGTCCCTCCGGCGTCGTCCCGGCCTCTCTGTTGTAGGTTTGGGGGAGTAGTGGCTTCTGCAGAGGCGGGCTCTGGTGAAGTCTAGTGACATTTGGGGAACCTTGTGGGACCCAGGCGGGGTGGGGGTGGCAACCCGGGACCCCGCAGTGCCCCTCAGGCTTCTCATGGGAGAAGCACCCCTCCCCGCCATGGGCGTCCTGTCACCACATCCTGGGGCTCTGCTTCCATCTGTGCCCTAACCCTGTCTCACAGCTTGTCCTCTCCTGCTGGTTGGATGTCCCTGTCCCCTTCTAAGGGACACCCCTCTCTTGGTCCTGTGCTGGTCGGCTGTGTCCTGGCATCCGACTTCTGTAAGATGTGTGATAAAAGGCAATAGACTTTTAGGAGCGAAAGCACGTTTTGTATCAAATGCTCTCCCCATGATGCCAGTCTCTTGAGAGAAACAGCTCTTACCCTGCCCCCCAGATGCAGCTATTGAGTGGGTATCTGTTAGTATTACAAGCTAGGCATTTTAGATAAGAACTACTTTAGGGCCTCAAGAGATTTTTTATTTTCTTCTTCTTAAAGTTTTATTTATGCACCTGGCACAGTAGCCTGTTGATGAAAGTCCTGGTCTTACACTCACCAGGATCCCTTATGGGCACTGGTTCTAGTCCTGGCTGCTCCACTTTCCGTCCAGCTCCCTGCTTGTGGCCTGGGAAAGTAGTCGAGGACGGCCAAAGCCTTGGGACCCTGTACACACGTGGGAGACCCGGAAGAAGCTCCTGGTTCCTGACTTCAGATCAGTTTGGTTGTGGCCACTTGGGGAATGAACCAGCAGATGAAAGATCTTTCTTTCTGTCTCTCTGTGTAGACTGCCTTTAAAATCAAAATGAATACATCTTTTAAAAGCCGTTTTATTTTTATTTGAAAGGCAGAGTTTCCGAGAGGACAGAAAAGTCCACTGGTACACTCCCCAAATAGCAACAGCCTGAGCTGAGCCCATGTATTACTTCCCTATTTCAGTGTATTCTGAGAGTTGGTGGAATGGAAATTATTTGCATCTTTAAGTTGTTGCACGTGGATAATGTAGTGCAGTTCTTATCGTCATTTTCAACTCTCTGAAAAAGGATTCGAACCCAGAGAAGGCTACCCCAGCCGTAGATCTGCATCATGGGCATTCTCCCACATCTCTTTTCTTTGCAAGAGCCCCTGATTTAAGGAGCATTTCCCTCTTACAGAGCCTAGAATGCTGAGCTCTGGAAGGATCAAACTGTTTCATCATTTAATAGACGGCAGACAGAAGCATACACTTGTAGAGATCTTACACGCCATACCATCTCTCACTTGCTCCCCAGTGAGTTCATTTCCAGTAGTTGTATTTCTGCAGGGTTGTTTTTTTTTTTTTAATCGGAAAATCAGATTTCCAGAGAGAAGAGACAAAGCTCTTCCATCCATTGCTTACTCCCCAAATGGCTGCGATGGCTAGAACTGAGCCAGTCTAGAGCCAGGAGCCTCCTGCAGGTCTCCCACATGGGTACAGGTCCCCAGGCTTTGAGCCATCCTTTACTATGTTCCCAGGCCATAAGCAGGAAGCTGAGTAGCAAATGGAGCATCTGGGACATGAACAAGCACCCATATGGGATGCTACAGTTGGAGATGAAGGATTAGCCAGTTGAGCCATTGGGCCAGAGCTGCATCTGCAGATTTTCAGAAAAGATAATTTCTTGGAAAGGCTGAGTGAGACAGAGCTCAAAGCTCCTGGCCTCTGGCTTTGGCCAGGCAGAGTGACAGGGGCTGCAGTGGCTGGGCCGGGCAGGCTGGCTGAAGCCATGAGCTTCTTCAGGGTCTTCCGTGTAGCTAGTTATTTGTTATATAAAAGCTATGTTAAATTTTGGAGCTTGTATTAGTTTTGTTTGCACACACTATACCAGATTTCCTTACTGTTTTTAGTTATTTCTCATTTGCTTTCCTATTTTTAGTTTAAAAAATATTTATGAATACCTCTGGGAAGGCAGTAGGTAATGGCCGAGTACCAGGTGGAGTCTGGCCTCCTGGCTCTGGCCTGGCCCAACACAGTTGGTGTGGCCATACAGAGAGTGAACCGGCAGGTGGAAGATTTCCTCTGAGTCTACCTTTCAAATAAATAAAAAGTTCTTTTTAAAAAATAACTAAATATTTAGCTATATCTCTGCAATTTCCTTCCAGCTGAAAAAGAGTCCCAAATGGACGTGCAAAGCCTGCGGCAAGAAACAGTCGTTTTTGCGGGTGAGTCCTTAGAAGCAGAGACAAGGTGGAGTCCCAGCGTTCCACGGCCTGGATCTCTCTCTCATGGTTGGCCAGGCGGCGTGCTGCTGCCCCTGGGCTCCTGTCCCCTCCGGCCATGAGGTGGACAGAGCAGTGCCTGGGAGGTGCCGTCCTTGGTTTTCTTCATTCAGTACAAGTATCTTGTGTGCCTTCTGTGTGCCAGGTGCCTAGAAACAGTGGGCAGTGAGACCTTCATGATTCATAGGGAAGGGGAAGAGAAAGTAATTCACGGGCACACAGGCACACATACAGGTGTAACCAAAAGCTGGACCAAGCACGGGGACTGCAGGAACACGGCAGACAGTTAGAGCCAGCAGGGTGGGGAGTATGGACGGAATCCTTTCCTGTAGCTGCCCTTACTCTGATGAGGTGCACAGTTCTCGTGTGTCCGTGTTGATCTCAACCGCCTCATGCCTTCGGTCTGTTGAACACCTGTTCCCACTCACTTTGCTTGCCGTAGCCCAGTGCTGCCTCTCCTGCCTCATCTCATCATTCATCTCGTGTTTTTCTGACACTGAACACGGGCCAAGTCCCCTCCCTTAGAGACTCCGCTCCCGTTTTGGCGGTCCTGATCAGGAGGGAGGTATCAGTGCCCTGGCACGAGTGCCGTCCGTCTCAGAGTGAATTGCGGGAGGCTCTGCCCACGTCTCCCTAGCACTCTGCACAGTACCCAACACTGCTGCACATGCTTTGCTTAGAACAGAAACCACAGAGGTGAAATTAAGAATGTATTTTGATCAGGTTTCCTTTTGTTCCAAATAATAGACAAAAAAATTGAACATGGCTTCAGTGGAAAATTATTTTAAATGTGCTGTCACTAGTGGGGTGTCTTGGGGAAGGAACCCAAAGACAGAACTTCATCCCTGGGCCTCCAGCCAGCTTTCCTCCCTTCTCCCCTTTGTCCAGTTTCTCCCAATGCCTTCCTCTTCCCTTTTCTCCTGTCTTTCCTTCCAGTAATGTCCTCCACTCAGGGAATGCAGAATGTCCTGTGAGCCATCTGGAATAGCTGAGATTCATGCACAAAGCCACCCCTGGGACCAGGTGCATTCACCCATGGGCCCACCTCTTGTCAGGGCCAGGAACCGGCAGATCAGCCAGCCAGACACCCACACAGTAACTACTGCTTGTCTGTGCATTTCTGGTTTCTCTGTGAGGAAGGCTTGGCCCTCCTCTCAGAGCCTCCCAACCTGTGCAAGGATTACAACAGCAGTCACACACACCAAAACTGTCCTGGGAGGATGTTGCTGTGTGTGGTCACTCTGGCAGCCAGCCTCCTGTCACGAAAGGTTCTTTTATTCCATCAGATTTGTCTGCAGCTTCCTGCAGCCACAGAGGTGGGGAGAGTTCAAGGGAGCTGCCCAGGAGGCCTTTAAGGGCCGGACCTGCTAGTGGATGACATTACACAGCAGAGACTGGTCTCCTGGCTGGACCTGGTCACCGGGCACTCTGGAGTCCAGAGAAGGGAGGCTGTGTCTGTATGACCCTGCTGGTCATTCCAGGCTCTGAGTCCTCAAGCTTGCCCAACTCTGCCATTCCCCTCTACTGCTCCTCTTCTCTCCATGCAGATCTGCTCTCCTAAGCAGCCACTGGGATCACTCATGTCTCAGTCAGAGATGACATACAGGCTCCAGGCCCTCCTGCTGGTCTTCTCATGCCTGGCCGGTTGCTGCTCTGGTCCTCCTTGTTGGTTGTCTCCTCTCCGCAGTGTCCAGTTATTGAAGGACTCTGAGTGTAGCCTCGCTGCCTGTTTGGCCTCATTCATTCCGAAGTGACCCAAGATAAGACCATATGAAAACTCTTATATATGTGTGTGCCACCACTGCCAGTCACCATGGGGTATGTAACAGACATCTCACATCTCACCTGTCCAAACAGAAGCCTGCCGGCGCCCACAGACCTACTCTTCCCATAGCCATTCCATGCCTTTCTGCTGCATCCCTCTGAGGTCTCTGTCTGGGCACTCCTGGCTCTGTATTTACATTCTTCCTACAGTTCAGTCCCTGAGCAGTTTGTGTTGGCGTCTTCCTGCAGCCCTGCTCCCCATCTCTGTGAGCAGTGGCTTCCTAGCTGCCCTGCCTGTCTCTGTGCTGTGCCCTCTCTCAGTACCACAGCCAGGGGCTCCTCTTAGAACACACACTGAGTCCTCTACTCAGAGCCAAATACTTACCCTGTACACAGAGCCAACTATGTGAAGCTTTGGGGAGAGCCCAAAATGTGGGGATCCTGTTACAAAACCCTTTTTTAAAAGGTGTATTTATTTTTATTTGGAAGGCAGGTTTTGTAGAGTGGGGCTAGGGAAGTTTTCCATCCCTAAATGTCCTCAACGGCCAGAGCTGAGCTAATCCAAAGCTGGGAGCCAGGAGCCTCTTCCAGGTCTCTCAGGTGTGTGCAGGGTTCCAAGGACTTGAGCCATCCTTTGCAGCTCTCCCAGGTCATAAGCAGAGAGCTGGATCAGAAGTGGAGCAGCCAGAATATGAACCAGCCTCTCTATGGGATGTTGGTGCCAGAGTGGAGGATTAACGTGCTGTGCCACTGATTTGGGCCTGTTTTGTCTTTTGTTTGTTTGTTAATAGTTTCTCTGTCACTCTCTCTCTGTCATATTCTTTCTCTCTTTAATGGAAGTCCACCAGACAGAGATCTGTCAGCTGATTCATTCCCCAAATGCATACCACAGCTTGGTTGGTGCAAGCTGAAAACAGGACCAGGATCCCAGTCTGCATCTCACACAGGTTGACAAGGCCCCAGTGACTTGAGCTGCACCTGCTACTCCATAGCGGCAAGCTGACGTTGGGAGCAGAGCTGAGACTTGAACCCAGGAATTGTCATAAGGGATGCAGACCTCTAAGGTGGGTTAACCGCTCTGCCAGAGGCCCACCCCTGTGATCCCTCCTGACTTCTCATATTTTTTTAACATCTTCTTTAAAGAAAACCTAACGTTCTGATATACTATCATGCTTTTACTTTTCCTCCTGATGTTTTGCAAAGCCAGCATTAAATACAAGTGTAAGTCACTTGGTGTTTGTGAAGTCATCTGCATGGCATAGTGCGAGTTGCACGGCTCATTCATGCTCACGTAATTCACCCTACCCAGAGCAGCAGAAGAGCTCACAGCCACACTGGCTGGCTTTACTGCATTTCTTGGCATGCGCAGCTTCTACCTACACTCCACTTCTGACTTACTGATGAGTAAAGAAGGAAGAGCAGCCCTGGGTGGCCTCGTCGATCCCTTGCCTTCTATAAGGCCCTTCTCAGCCTGACTGTTGCCTAAAGCAGGGAAGTAGCATGAGGAAGAAAGGATATGGTAGGACACTTGATGGCTAATGATTCTTAAAACATCATTGCCACATTCTGCGCTTGCAACAGGTTCTGGTTCCAGTGGAAAGTCCAACCTCCCAGGCCATCAGCACCCTTCCCCTACCGTCTGCACTCCAGGTCTCGCTGAGTCCACAGCAGTCATGTGTCTCAGGTGTCCTGAGCCATGGAGAGTGAGTGTACACATGAGGTGGCAAGGAACGGTTGGCCACACGTCTGCTCTGCTTTGTCCACTGGACTTCACTCAAACAGTGAAACGGTGTCGGCATGGTTTTTGTTGTTGTTTCTTTGTTTTGTTAAGATTTATTTATTTTTATGTATTGCAAAGGCAGATTTACAGAGTAGGAGAGACAAAGAGATCTTCCATCTGCTGGTTCACTCTCCCACGTGGCTGCAACAGCAGAGCTAAGCTGATCTGAAGCCAGGATTTAGCCACTAGGCTACCATCCTGGACTTACTGTCAGAATTTTTTTAACAGGTAATGTTTAGCTTCGCAGTTAAGATGCCACTTCTGGGCCCAGCATAGTAGCCCAGGAGCTAAAGTCCTTGCCTTGGATACATCAGGATCACATATGGGTACTGATTCTAATGCCAGCAGTCCCGCTTCCCATCCAGCTCCTTGCTTGTGGCCTTGGAAAGCATCGAGGATGGCCCAGAGCCTTGGGCCCTGCATGCATGTGTGGAAGAGGCTGTGGGCTCTTGACAACAGATCAGCACAGCTACGGCACTTGCTTGGGGAGTGAATCATTGGACAGAAGATCTTCCTCTCTGTCTCTTCTCCTCTTTGTATATCTGACTTTGCAATAAAAATTTAAAAACCTTTTTTTTTAAGATTCCACTTCTAGGGCCCAGCGCGATGGCACAGCAGTTAAGGTCCTGCCTTGCACGCCCGGGATCTCATATGGGCGCTGGATCACATATGGGTACTGATTCTAATGCCAGCAGTCCCGCTTCCCATCCAGCTCCCTGCTTGTGGCCCGGGAAAGCAGTCGAGGACTGCCCAAAGCTTTGGGACCCTGCACCTGTGTGAGAGACCCAGAAGAGGCTCCTGGCTTCAGATCGGCATAGCATCGGCCGTTGCGCTCACTTGGGGAGTGAATCATCAGCCCCAGTTTGTGTCCCAGCTGCTCTGCTTCCCATCCAGCTCCCTTCCTGTGGCCTGGGAAAAGCAGAGGAGGACAGCCCTAAGCCTGGAGACCCTGCAGCCAAGTGGGAGACAGAAGAAGCTCCTGCAGGGCTCCAGGCTTCTGATTGACCACATTATGATATTGTCTGGATTTCAGTGCTGGCTCTAACTCCTGACTGAAGCTTCCTTTTCTTTTTCTTTTGTTTAAAACTGTTTTCAGGGAGTTATTTATTTTTATTTGAAAGGCAGAGTTACAGGAGAAGAAACAAAGAAAGAGAGAGAGAACTTCCATCCACTGGTTCACTTCCCTAATGGCCGAAATGGCCAGAGTTAAACCCTCCAGAGCTAGGAGCTGCCCCTGTCTCCCACACTGAGCAGGGGCCCGAGGACCTGAGCCATCAAGTTCCCAGATCATAGGTAGGGAACTGGATCAGAAGTGGAGCAGCTGGGACATGCACTGGTCCCTATATAGGATACTAGCATGGCAGACCAGGCCCAGCCTACCATGCCATAGCACCAGCCCCTCCAATTTCCTTTTTCTCCCCCCTCCCTTTTTTTGGTAAGATTTTTTACTTTTGTTTGAAAGTCAGATCTAAAGAAAGAAGGAGAAAAAGAGAAAGATATTGTATCTGGTATTGACTCCCCAAATGGCTACATTAGCTGACCCTGAGCTAATCTGAAGCTTGGCTCTTCTTTCTGGTTTCCCACATGGTTGTAGGATTGCAATGACTTGAGCCATCCCTTGCTGCCTTCCCAGGCTATAAGCGGTGAGCTGGATTGGACATGGAGTGCCCAGGACATGAACCAGCACCTGTATGGGATGCTGGCACTTGATGGTGGAGGATTGGCCTGATGAGCCATGGCACAAGCCACCTCCAACTTCTAATGCAGACCCTGGTAGGTATCAGTAATAGCTCAAGCAATTGAGTTCCTGACCCCACATTGGCCAGCCCCTGCCATTGCAGGCACTTGGTTAGTGAACTAGCAGATGGGAGCGCTTTCTGTGCATTCATCCTTCTCAAATAAATAAATCTCATGTAGGAGCTGGCAGCATGGTGTATCAGCATAAGCCTCCAGCTTAGCTCTGACGTCCTGCATCATGTCCTGGCTGCTACATTTCTAATCCAGCTCCCTACTGATATACCTGGGAAAACAGTAGAAAAGTGCCTAAGTGCTTGGGTGCCTACAACCATGTTGGGAGACCCAGAAGAAGCTCCTGCCCACTGCCTGGCATTGTCCCAGCTCTAACCATTGCACCCATTTGGAGAAAGAACTGGCAGATGCAAGGTCTGTCTCTCCTTCACTCTTTTATAACTGCCTTTCAAATACAAATAAATAAGTCTTTTAAAAACAGTTATTTTCACAAAGCTCTTCAGGATGGCAGCCGCAGAGCAGGTCTGTAGGAGTGTACCACTGCATGTGGAAGACCATCCACTGTCATCTCCTGCTGGCCTCCCTTCAGAGCACTCAGCTCCAGGCTCACTGATCCCCCTCAGGCGAGGCTCAAGGTCTCAGCCTTCATTCTCATCTCGTGCCTCTGTTGGAATGTTCTTTCTCCAGCTGTGTGTGGGACACCCTCGCCTGTATCTTCCTGTTTGTGCCCACATCTCCCCTTCTCACTGACCTGATCCTTGAGCACTAGAAGACCCTTTGTCAGGTGGCGTCTGGGTTCCTCTGCCTGCCCCGCTTCTTGGCTCTGATTTCCTCATGTGTGCCTGGCACCATGTGATAGGCCAGACATTTTACCTAGGGATCTTCAGTACGTTCTTGGAGATTCATATGATGGAAATCTATTTAAGAACTTTTAAATTTTGTATAAAAATAAACTTACCTTTTATTTCCATTCTTCAGAAACATTTTGAAATACTGGTCTTTTCAAGTTGTCTTTTTTGGGGCCATTAAAATGTGTTCAGCCATCATCTGTAGCACACATATCGTGTGGGGACACCAATTTGTGTTCCAGGCTGTTTCTACTCCTGATCAGGCTCACTGCTGATGCACCTGGGAAAGCAGCAGAAGATGGCTCATGTCCTTAAGCCCCTGCACCCACATGGGAGACTGGGGTGAAGCTCCTGGATTTGACCTGGCGCTGCCCTAGCCATTTCAGCCTTTGGGGAGTGGCCCAATAGAGGAAAGATCTCTTTCTCTCTGGGTGTGTTTCTCCTTCTTGTCTCACTGGCATGTCTGCTCCTCAGTGACACTGCAGTGCATGTCTCATAGCTAGACCAAGGCCTGACACATGGCAGGTTCTCAGTAAATATTTATGGGCTGAAGGAGTCCAGAATGAGGCCTAAAGATGCCTGAGTGATGCCACGAAGAACAAAGAAGAACACCTCATTTTGTGTTCCACTGTCTATCAGCAAATGAAGCATCCTTCCATATAGTTTGTGGGGATTTGGGTCATTTCTCTTGGGAAGTTTTATTCAGGTTCATTGGTCATTTTGAGCAGGGCTTAAGGTGCTTTTGCCTTTGAAACTAGAGCTGCATGCTGGTGGGGCAGCCAGAGAGAATTAATCAGTTCTGGAGCCCGTCTGTCTGTGGCTCCAGACTGGCTGTTTCAGGCAGTCTTGGGCCTTGCAGAGCACAGCACCATCCTCCCCGAGGTGGGTCTCACAGGTGGCTGTTCTTCACACCCTGAGGAGCTTTTCAAACTTCACATGTTTCTTTTGTTTCGCAGAGCTACGGTGAGGGCTCCGGTGCTGACTGCAGGCGCCATGTCCAAAAGTTAAATCTGCTGCAAGGACAGGTCTCAGAGCTGCCGCTCAGGTATGGTGTTGGGAGAGGAGCACGCTTGCCAATCTGCTTGCTTGTCAACTGTACAGTGAGTGTGTGCTTTATTCCTGGATTCATCCAGTGGAGAAAACCTCCACAAAGGTGGGGGCATGCGTGATCTTTCATTGACATTTTCCCACACATCTTTGATCATATTACTCTTTTAATACTTATTTGTTTTTATTTGAGGAGCAGAGCTATGGAGAGAAAAGGAGAGAGATCTGCCATCTGAGGGTTCACTCCCCAAATGGCTACAACAGATAGAGCCGGGCTTATCTGAAGCCAGGAACCAGAAGCTTCTTCTAGGTCTCTCATGGGGGTGCAGGGTGTCAAGGTCTTGCCCCATCCACTGCTATCTTACCAGGTCATGAGTAGGGAACTGGATGGGAAATGGAGCAGCTGGGACTTCAACCAAGGCCCACATGGGATTCTGGTACCACAGGCAAAGGTTTAACTAGCTATGGCACAGCTAGGTCCTCATTGTACTCTTATACAGTGAATTGAACATATTAAACAATTCTCCCACCGAAAATAAAACTACTGGCTGCAGGGTTTTTTTCAGTGCACTGATGAGCTGGCAGGAGAATCAATAACCCTCAGAGGTAAAAATGAAGTAAAGCCAAAATCCAGAAGGCAACCTCTGAACTACTGTGATTGTCACCTGGTTCCCTGGAGCCCTTGTTCAGCCGGCCAGAGAGCTGCAGGAGGAAAAAGACAGTGTGGGGCCTGGTCAGTGGGGAAGGACAGTGGGAGCCCTCCATGTAAAGTGAGTCCCATAGGGCTGTCCTGTCATGAACAAATTCACATACCCACCATGCAGCTGCTGATGAAGAGGGAATAGCTGACGATTTCGGAAATCCTGGTTTTCTAGCCTTCCGCACACACAGTGCAAAAGTCTCAAGCTGAGAGTGTACGTTTCAGTTGCTCCTCTCTGGAGCAGCACACCTTCCATCCTGGCTTCCAAGAACTCCCACAGGCAGAATCCCAGGAAACACAGACTCAGAGTTAAAACTCAGTAAACAGGGGGATGGTGCTGGGGCTTGGCAAGTAAGGCACCATCTGTCACCTGGCATCCCTTATGGATGCCAGTTCAAGTCAAGTTGTTCCACTTCAGGTCCACTTCCCTGCTAATATGCCTGGGAAAGCCGTCAAAGGTGACCCAAGTGCTTGGGCTCCTGCACCCATGTGGGAGACCCAGAAGAGCTTCTGGCTCTTTGGGTTTGGACCAGGCCTTCTCTGATCATTGCAGCCATTTGAGGAGTGAAGCAGCAAATGGAAGAGCTCTCTGTCTCTCCTTATCTCTGTAAACTCTGCAATTCAAATAAATAAAGTTTTGGAAATTACTAAACAATGAATGAAATATGTCAGAATAGACTGAGCAGCAGGCAGCTGAGGAAAGTGAGAGCTCAAGGAATTCAGCATGTGTAATATTGCACAATCAGTAAATCTGACAGTGTGGGGGGAATTGATAGGCTTTAGAAAAATCAGTTGGTTAAAAAATTTAGTTGTTTGACAGAGTGACAAAGGGAGACAGTGAAATAGTGAAATCTTACACTGGTCCACTAGCCACAATGGGCAGGGCTGGGCCAGAACAAAGCTAGGAGCCTGAAGCTCCATCTGGGCCTCCCACATGAGTGCCAGGGGCCCAGGTACTTGGGCCATTCTCTGCTGCCTTCCCAGACAAACCAGCGGAGAGCTGGCTCACAGGCAGAGCAGCGGGACCCGAAGCAGTGCTCTGATAAAGGATGCCACCACTACAGGCAGGGACTTAACTTGCTGTGCCACAACATTGGCTCCCAGTTCTTGAAAGTGAAAGTAGAGGCACAGTGTTGTGGCGTTGCTGGTCAAGTTGCTGCCCCCAACATGCCATATGAATGCTGGTTTGTGTTCCAATGCTCCACTTGCAATGTAGCTTCCTATTAATGACCTGAGAAAAGCTGTGCAAGATGGCCCAAGTGTTTGGGCTCTGGCCACCCTTATGGGAGACCTGCTGAAGCTTCTGGCTCTTAAAAAAAAAAACATTATGGGCTGGCACAGTGGCATGGCGAGCTAATCTTCTACCTGTGGCACTGGCGTCAGATATGGACACCAGTTCAGGTCCTGGCTGCTCCATTTCTAGTCCAGCTTCCTGCTGATGGCCTGGGAAAGCAGCAGAGGATGCAACTCTGAGCAGTGAACCAGTGGATGGAAGTTCTGTCTTTCCCTCTCTCTCTCTTTCTGACTCTGATTTTTTCTTTTTGTTGGAAAAGCAGATTTACAGAGAGTAAAAGCAGAGGAAAAAATTTTCTGTCCACCGTTTCACTCCCCAGATGGCTGTAATGGCCAAACCTGAGATGATTCTAAACCAGGAGCCAGGAGCCCATTCTGCGACTCCTACGTGGGTGCAGGTTTCCAAGGCTTTGGGCCATCCTTGACTGCTTTCCCAGGCCACAAGCATGGAGCTGGATGGGAATTGGGGCTGCCGGGATTAGAATTGTCTCCCAGATGGGCTCCCAGCTCTTGCAAGGTGAGGATTTAGCCATCGAGCCATCACAGTGGGCTCAGGCACGTTGCCTTCTTTTTTCTTTTCTTTAGAAATTACCATGTTCCTTCCTTCCTTCCTGACTGCCTTCCTTCTTTGTTTCCTCACTTCCTTCCTTCCTTTCTTCATTTTGCTTAGGACAGTGTGACAGATGACCTTGTCCCTGGCGACCAGATGAGCCCTGCAGACAGGACGTTATTGCCAGCACATCCCCTGCCATGGCAACTGACCTGGCTAGGAATGTGCCTAGAGCCCAGGCCCTTTGCCACATGGGTATGGTTCAGGAGTATTATTGCCTGTGTCCCATCGGAGTCCCAGGGGTGAATCAGCTGTACCTTCTGATGCCACAGGATCTCTGATCTCAGGGACCAAATCTTTGGGATGTGCCCTGACCTCAGTGTACACAGCTGCATGTGGGACACTGCCTTGGCAGGCTCTTCTGCAAGAGAGAGGAACTTACTCAGGAATATACAAAAGATAAGCCAGGCTACTCCAGTGAACCAGGACCTCTCCTACTGGCAAAAAGAACCCAGCAACTTCGCAGAGTAATGAGGACCATGCTGCGGACACAGCCGTTGGCACTGACTGGAAATTTTCTGGCTCCTGAGATAGACCCATTAATGACACAGAGATTTCCAAACCGAGACCAGGCAGGGCTCATGTCCATAACCAGCAGGAAGTAATTACAGAAGATGTGATGAATCTTCATCCTTCAGCAATCCTTAAGATTAAGGTCAGAGGGCCTGGTAGCATGGCCTAGTGGCTAAGGTCCTTGACTTGAATGCGCCAGGATCCCATATGGGTGCCGGTTCTAATCTCGGCAGCTCCACTTCCCATCAAGCTCCCTGCTTGTAGCCTAGGAAAGCAGTCTAGGACGGCCCAAAGCCTTTGGACCCTGCACCCTTGTGGGAGACCCGGAAGAAGTTCCCGGCTCCTGGCTTCAGATTGGCATAGCATCAGCTGTTGCGCTCACTTGGGGAGTGAATCACTGGGCAGAAGATCTTCCTCTCTGTGTCTCCTCCTCTCTGTATATCTGACTTTCCAATAAATAAATAAATATTTAAAAAGAAAATTTTTAAAAAAGAAAGATTAAGGTCAGAACTATCTGAGGGAGGATGAAATGGAATAGGCAGGAAACTGCTTAGGCTCACAAGTTGAAACCACACACACCTGCACACCTCCTCTACACTATGTCATCCTATCAACCTGTCTGTCAATGAGATGACCCCCTCCCCATAGGTACTTCCCCTCACTGGACTTGGAGGTGGTATCAGGTAACCACTACCTGTTCCAGGCTCCTAGGAAGCCAGACAATGAGGAGGGGCACTCTCTGTCTTCCCATGGACACAGGATGGAAAGTTTCTACCAGCTGTGAGGGTTATAATCAAACATACTCTGATATGTTAGGACAACACGCCAGTCACACTGGTTCTTCTGTAGATCCAGATCACACCCCAGCATTCTGCATCAAAAACCAGGCTAATGTGCTATAGCACCTCTACTCTGTAAGATTTGTACTGGTTGTTTGCTCATGGCTAGGGGAAGCAGCAGAAGGTGGCCCAAGCGCATGGCCCCGTGCCACCCTCGTGGGAGAACCATATGAAGCTCCTTGCCCCTGACTTAATCCTGGCTGAGTCCTAACTATTATGGCCATGTGTGCCGTGAACCAGCAGAGGGAACAAATCTCTCTCTCCCTACTCGTTCTCTGATTTTCAAGTAAATAAATAAGAAAATAACCAACTAATCCTGAAATTTATATAGAAATACAAAAGACATGGAATCATCTAATTAGTGTTGATAAAAATCAAAGTTGGAGGATTTATACAGTCTGATGTAAAGATTGACTAAAAGAGGCCAATACTGTAGCATAGTAGGCTAAGCCTCTGCAGCGGTGGCATCCCATATGAGCACCAGTTTATGTCCCGGCTGCTTCACTTTCCATCCAGCTCCCTGCCTATGACCTGGGAAAGTAGCTACTTGGTTCCCTGCATTACATGGGAAACCCAGAAGAAGCTCCTAGCTCCTGGCTTTGGACCAGCTCAGTTCCAGCCATTACAGCATTTGGGGAATGAACCAGCAGATGGAAGATTTCTTTGTCTCTCCTTCTTTCTGTGACTCTGATCTTCAAATAAAAATAAATACAAATCTTTGGGTCCAGTGTAACAGTTCGTTGGCTAAATCCTTGCCTCACACCCATTGGGATCACATATGGTTGCCAGTTAATGTTCTGGCTGCTCCACTTTCCATTCAGACCTCTGCTTATGCTCTGGGAAAGCGGTAGAGGATGGCCCAAAGCCTTAGGGTTTCCAGAGGAAGGTCCTGGCTCCTAGCTTTGGGTTGGCTTAGCTCTAGCCATTACAGCCATTTAAGAAGTGAACAAATGGATGGAAGGTCTTTCTCTGTCTCTCCTACTCCCTGTAAATCTCCCTTTCCAATAAAATAAGTTATTTTATTGGAATAATAAAATAATAAGCATGATAGCATAGCGCTTAAAGTCCTCACCTTGACCACACCTGGGATCCCATATCGACACTGGTTCTAATCCCAGCAGCTCCATTTCCCATCCAGCTCCCTACCTGTGGCCTGTGAGAACGGTCGAGGACAGCCCAAAGCTTTGGGACCCACGTGGTAGACTTGGAAAGGCTCCTGGCTTCAGATAGGCTCAGCTACAGCAGTTGCAGCCTCTTGGGGAGTGAATCATCAGAAGGAAGATCTTCCACTCTGTTTCTCATCCTCTCTGTATATATTTGCCTTTCTAATAAAAATAAATAAATCTTTTAATTTTTTTTAAAGATTTATTTTTATTATGCTTTTATTGGAAAGGTGGATATACAGAGAGGAGAGACAGGATCTTTCGGGCCGATACTATGCCGATCCGAAGCCAGGAGCCTCTTCCGGTTCTCCCACGCGGGTGCAGGTTCCCAAAGCTTTGGGCCGTCCTCGACTACTTTCCCAGGCCACAGGCAGGGAGCTGGAAGGGAAGCGGGGTGCCGGGATTAGAACCGGCGCCCATATGGGATCCCAGTCGTGCAAGGTGAGGACTTTTAACTACTTGCGCCACCGCGCCGGGCCCAATAAATCTTTTTAAAAAAAACTCTTTCAGCACACCACAGCGAGGTTGTGGGAGCCAGAAGACAAAATGAAGCATTGGAGAGGGCTGGCTCATCTATGGAGGGACTGTGACACCCACCTCTTGGTGGCAACGCTGCAAACAAGAAGGCAGACTATGTTCACAGCGCAGAGACATTCTTTAGGCTTTGGAATGAAGTTTGTTGAAATATTTAATTATTTATACTTGAAAGATTTATAGAGAGGAGAGACTGAATCTTCTTCCACAGGTTCACCCCCACATGGCTGCAACAAGCAGAGCTGAGCCAATCTGACGCCAGAAGCCAGGAGTATCTTCCAGGTCACCCACATGGGTGTCCAAGGACTCCAGCCATCCTCCACTGCTTTCCCAGATCATAAGCAGGGAGCTGACCAGAAGTGGAAGCAGCTGAGGCATGAAGTGGCACCCTTCTGGGATGCTGGGCCACAGGTGGGAGTTAGCTTACTCCATCACAGTGACAGCCCCTGGAATGGGTTCTTAAGTCAGGTATGCAGGGTTCGGGGCGCTCACTGGTAGGATACTGCCCACCAGACTGTTAGTTCTCAGCTGTGGGGCAGGGTAGCTGCTCTCACCTGCATACATCCTCATAATAGCCCTGTGAGAATCAGTGACTGAAGGCAAAGTAACTGTGGTAGAGATGCCCACATATGGTGGACTGTGAGCTCACTGGGGTGTTGCATGGGATTATGTGATTTGACAACCCACATGGCGTCAGTTCATCTTGGTGAGATGCAGAGCCCCACCCCTGCAGGCCAGCTAGAGTCACCGTGATGTGGCAAGTTCAGTGACTTGTGTGGCCTTTTTCCGTGAGGACATACATCCCTGTGTTGATGAACGGAACTCTATGTCCAGAGGTCCTGAGCAAAGGACATTCATTGTTTCATTGGTCTTTGCAGTCCTGGGCACAATATTACCCACATTAGTGGGATGAGGAAAATGGAACAAGGATGTCGAACCATGATGCAGCACAGAGCTTGTCATGGTCAAAGCCAAGATGCCAGTTCCAGCCTAAGCAGAGTGCATGGCTCTCTGCCCAGTCCTCCTGTTGGTGGAGGGCCTGACCATCCTAATCAGAGGAAATAAGTGGCCCCTCTCCCAGATCCTCGGCTGCTGCAGGACACCAGAACCACATGAGACCTCAGAGCTGAGTCCCTGAGATGCCCCAAGACCAGCCTGGGGTCTGCTCAGTCCTTGCATCCTGCCATTTTCATCTTATTTGTCCTTCCTCTTTGGGCTCATTTTACTAAGGGGGTTTGGATGTTCTTCCCCTAAGGTCTCTGGAGGGTTCTGGAAGTGTCAGAGAAGAAGAACTTGAAGATCACCATCAGGCAGAGAATGTGGATCCTCAGGTAAGCCAGCTGCATCTGTGCTAAACCTAATGGAACGGATTCTGTTTATGTGTTACCGAAAAGACAGAATCACACAAATTTCATTTGAAGCACTCATTGCAGTTCTAGAATTGAGCAGCACTTCAATGAATGCTGCAACCAGCAGAGCAGAAGGGGTTGGTTTTGTAGACAGAAGGAGCAGATAAGTCACTTCAGAATTGCTTGTCTTATAAGATGCACCCCGGGAGACAGAGTAATGGCACACTGATGGGTTGGCATCAGGGTAAAAGGTTGAAGCAGGGGGAATTTCCTCTTTCAGACTGCACTGGCCTGTTGATGAAAGCAGGCTGTTCTCTTCCCCCCTTTCTCAGGTCAGTGACAACCGAGTTTCTAGGGACGTGGGTTTTTGCTTGTGCCATGTCCTGCTGGGCTGCAATGCAGGAGCTTCCCCCGAACCAGGGCTTCTTGTAACTTTAGTTTACCAGTATTCATTAGCCATACAGTCAACAATACTGATGACAAGTGTTCATAAGTGCAGGAATACAAGAACCTATAACCTGTCCACATATCCACACATCGTTGCTACACGAAGAGGGCTTCTTCCTTTGTGCTGTGTAATGGCTCCTCCGGAACAGAACCTGTCCTCCAGCTCCTGCCCCCTCTGCCCCCGCCCTCCAGGTTCCTTTCAGGGATAGGAGGCCGAGGGTCAGGTCCCTGGTCACTCCCCTGGAGAGCATGAGTCACACAGTGCTGTGGGCAGGCGGTGTGTGAGAGAGCACTTTAGTTCTTGTGGTCATCGGTCCACCCAGAATAGCAGGTCCTTGCAGGAGAACTCCCACCTTCTGCTCACAGGACCACTCTGGCCACCCTCCTGCCGTCCTGGGCTAGGTGGTCTCAAATACCTATTCCAGGTTCTTAGAGACCATCCAGTACATCTTCTGAAGTGATGAAGTTTCTATAAAAGGTAAGGAAATCACACCCATGTGGGTATGTGGAGGAGCAGAGTGGCCCAAAAACGGGGAGGGTGGAAGAGGGGTGCTTTCTCCTCTGCATCTGCAGGAAGAGTGAGTGAGAGCATCCTTGAGTGGGAGAGCCCCTCCTTGTCAGGGCTCTTACAGGGTTCCAAAAGGGAGTGGTTATGTGACCCCCGCCCCCCAACAGGTGTGAGGAAGTATCCCCTGGGAAGGGGTCCTCTGACCTACAGATAGGATTACATAGCATGGGGAGGTGTGGCTTCCAGCTCCTGACTGCTATGCCAGCTCCCTACATTCCTCTCCCATTTCATCACTGTTCTGGGGAAAGGGCACGAAGGACGGAGGCTACCTCAGGTCTTACCTCACAGGAAAGAAGGATTTCCCCACAGACAAATCAAGAAGCAAAGTGAGATTTATTCAAGACAAACCTGCCGCAGGATTGAGTGGGGCTGTCAGAGAGGAAAACCCGAGAGAACGGTGGGGGTGGTGTCTTTTCAGCATAATTCAGATGTTCATTATGACAGCTAATAATCAATGAGAGGAAGGCACAGAGTCCTTCATTGGGCCAGGATCACAACCCTGTCTAGCTTGTCTCTGGTGAAAAGCCCAGAGGAAGGATAGGATAGGATTGGTAACTTCTTTCTTTTGTCGTGATAAAAGCAGGAACTCCGAAGGATAAGGTGGCACTTTGGTCTTGCTAACTCAGGCATCCTGCATACTTCTAGGGAGACTCCTCCTCTGCTCTTTCCAGCTACCTGTCGGGCCTGTCTGACTTTCACATGCCACTTGGTCGGCTTTGTGGGAAATCAGTAGACACTCCTAGGCCCACCTCCAGTGCAGCTCTCAGCACCTGAGCTTCCGGGTCAGCCACGCAAACGCTTAGTGTTACATCATTTTTGTGTCAAGAAAAGACTTGTTTGCTTAAGTTTTCACTAACAAAAGGCTTCTGTGTTGTTGCAGTTTCCAGGTATTTTCATTTTTTAAAACAGAATATGGTGGAAAGCGGGCTGCTGGCACTGATCCCTTTTTTGAGGGCCTGAGGCTGTCTCCACACTTTCTAAACAATGGCGTCTACAGCGCCACGAGTATCTCTGTGCCTTTGTTGTCTGTGTGGGGTCACTGGGTCAGGGAGCATGGACGTTCGGGGGTTCTGCTGCCTCTCCAAGGCCTCGCCAGCAGGCACCATCCCTGAGCCCTGGGTGTGAGAGCTGCAGTCAAAGGGCTTGCTTTCCTGTTCTTCCCAACACAGCCCTCTGAGAGCCGCTGGCTGAAGTGTCTGCACAAGGACTCCCCGGAACTGGAGCTGGGAGGAGGAGTGTGTTTCCATGGACAGTCCTCATCCGACATGGAGGAGTCAGACCCTCCCTTCAGTCAGGAGCTGCCCAGAAAAAGGTGCCAGGCTGTACCCAGTGCCCTCCAGGAGGCTCAGGTGGGGACTGATGAGACAGGCGCTGCTTGCTGACACAGGGATGCTTGCTGAACTCTGTGAGCAGCTCACACGGTGACCTCAAGGGGTAGGGGCTTAGGGGTGTTGACCGGGGCAGGAGGTTTACACTGGCGAAGCAGATACTGCAGACTGCACAGGAGCTCAGCTCTGCAGACAGCGCCTGAGGCGCCATGGGAGGTAGGTGGACCAGCCGTGGGGCAGAACTGCCTGGCAAGCACAGGACAGCCCATCTGCCATTGGGCTGCAGCTGAGTGGCTGCATGGAGGCTCCCTACCTCCTGTGGCCAGCCAGGTTGCCAGGGAGGCTGCGGGGCACTGTGCTGGCAGGACTGGACTATTGACAGCACTTTCCTCCCACCAGGAAATGGAGCCCGAGTCGGCCCAGCTGTTGCACAAACGTGACATCCCAGACTTGGGCACTCCCAGGGGCACCTGGCCACCCCAGAAGGTTGGTGATAGGGAATATTGCTTCCACTTTGGTCCCAGTGATCACCAAGCACACACAGAACTGTTGAAGTATGAGCTTTTTACCCCCCAAAGCTCAGCTTCCTGTTCTTGCCTGTGTGGAGCCAACTCCTTCCTCTGCCTGCTCCCTTCGCTCCCTGCTCATCTCATGAAATTAACTCTCAGCCAAAAGGGCATCGTGACACCCTGGGGTCCACTGAGGTTGGCCTGGCCTCTCTGCACACCCTGCCACCCTTGCCCTCTCCAGGCTCATGCTCCCTTGCTGAAGGCATTCAGTCACTTGGGGTGTGTTCCTGCTCCCAGGAACCCAACAGGCCCCACTGCACATTTAGTGCTGCAAAACTCAGATCTTGCTTTATGCTGTCATCAGCGTGTAAAGAGCCCTGCCAGAGGCCTGCTGACAGGGGTCACCTTAGCATAGATCTGCCACGGCCAACTTCACCTCATGCAGGCCTCCAGCTGGAAGCCAGGAGGCCAAGTTCAGATTCTGGTGTTGTCAGGAGTAGCTTTGAGACCTAAGTCAGCTCGTGGCTCTGAATCTCCCAGTGACAGCAGAGCCTTGCAGTTCCTGTGTGTGATGTTCTTGTCAAGTCTGTTTTGTCTTGCCCTCTTTCCCATTGTCTGGGGTGCAGAGTTGCAGCGACCCACTCTGAGGTCCTGTGAAGTGGTAAGCCTAACTGTCAGGACATCTTTGGTTGCTAAGCAGAAGCCGGTCCCCAGCAGCACGGGGAGCCTGGCACAGCCACTTGCAAAGTCCAGGTCTGAGGTGCTGTTTGCCAGGGAGGGAGCAGGTGAGGGGAGTCGGCCTCAGTCCATTCCCCAGTGGTCTCTAGGGCCTGTCTACTCCCACCTCTGTGCAGACACCCTGAGCTGACCCTCAGGAGCTGGGCCACCTGGAGCCTGGTCATGGAAACAGAGGACTGGGATGAAATGGCATTTACTCACTGTGCTTTGCCGACTTCACTGCCCAGCCTGTGGACTGGCAAGCAGCACCATGGAAAAGTCTCATCTGGGAAACGAGCCCCAGCAGGCAACAGGACACAGCTGTCTCCTCTGATTGGTTTCAGGACTCTCCTGGCCTGAACGTGAAGGTGAAGGAAGGTGGCAGTCACTGCCTCTGGAACCATGAGGACCCACGACCCCAGGGGCTCCGTGTTGCTCATGGGGAACTGCCGAGTCCAGCCTGTCAGGCTGAGGCCACATCTTCTAAATGGGTAAGATTTCTCCCATCTCCCGTGAACAGCTCCCAGGTGGACACAGAGCAGAGGGGACCCAAACCAGCAGGTCCAGCACAGGCTGAGCAAGGAACCCCATGGGCCCCCACCCCGAAGGAGAGCTGGGAAGCAGCCACTGTCCAGCTTCCTCAGGTCACACAGCCTCCCAGGCCTGGTTCTGAGGGACCCTGCAGGAGGATCCCTGAGCAGCAGAGGGGCACGGGGCCTCCCCAGGTGCCAGGGACACAGAAGCCTGCAGCCCTGCGGCTCTCTGACCTCTTTACAACAGGAGAGGACTTCAGTGATGACCTGTGAGCAGAGGCCAGCTTGTCACTGATGCAGATGAGGGTGGTGCAGGAGTGCCTCTGCAGCTCCCCCTGGTGTTAATGTGTGAAAAACCCCGAAAGCTGACAATAAACACAGGAGGACAGTGATGACTAAAGTGCTCATTGCATTTAATCACAGATTGCTTACAAATATAACAGCAGGGGCGCTACACATGAGAGGCATCGTAGTGATGAGCTGGAGGCAGCCGCCAGAGGACACTTGCACCTCGCACTTGCCCTTGGGAGCCGCTCTCCCTCCAAGTGTGAGACCTTCTGGCTTGCTGTAGGACAGCCCTCCCTCAATCTAGCAGGTTTCTAGCAGTAAATCAACTAGCTGTTTAGAAATGAGAAAGCAGAGGCCATTAGGCAGGGTGTATTCTGGACTGCTGGCATGAGGCTGGCAGGGGAGCCCAGTGCGCTGTGTATCACCTGCACCCTGCTGGGCAACAGCAAGTCCTTCCTGGGCCACAACAGCTCTCAGAGTAGATGGCTGTTTGGCATCAAGCATATACACATGGAACTCACCAGTGACACTGTGCTGCTGCCCTAAGAGGCCTCATGCATGCCCGCCCCCCAGATTCTGGAGAAGAATGCAGAAAATCTAGCCCTTATGGAGCCCCTGCTATTCTGACTAGCTCAATGTGATTATGTGACAGAGAAGGAGATTTGAAGCGAGCCGGGCAGCAGACATTGTCACAGTGGTGGCGGGTGCTTCGAATACTGGATGGTGTCCAGGGCAGCCCCGATGTCGTAGTTCTTGGTCTGCAGGAGCCTGGTGAGCCAACCACCTTCATCAGAGAAGCCCATGGACAGCATCTGAGACAAGGACTCGGTCAGCCGGGGCTCAACCTCTGCCAAAAACAGTAACAGGAGACATGAGAGAATGTAAACAGGCCCACGGGTGGGGATGACTCAAGACCCAGCAGCACCTTGGCGTTTACCCAGCAAGTACCCAGTGCCAACAGTTCCAGACACCCCTAACCTGCAGGGGTCCTCAGAAAGCTGCCCCTGAAGATGCAGAGAGCATCCCAGGCTGACCTGGCAGACCCTACAGGCTCACTGCTCCTTAAGTGCCAGGAACAAGGAAGCAAATTAGCACAGTCGTGTTCCAATAAATTTTATGGACAGTGAAATGTGAATTTCCCCTATCACTTTTTTTTTCTTTTTAAAGATTTGTCTTGAAGGAGTTAAGAGAGGGGAGATCTCCCATCTGATTCATTGGCCAAAGCTGGGCTAGGCTAAACTGGGAGCTTCTTCCGTGTCTCACGTGGGGGTGCAGGGACTCCCACATGAGATGTTTTTGGACCATCTTCCTCCTAAGTCATTATAAGGGAGCTGGATTAAAGTGGAGCAACTGAGACAGGAACCAGCAAACATTTGAGTCAGCAGCATCACAGGCAGTGACTGCCTAAGACACGAGAATATGGCTCTTATCACATGCTGTTGGAAGTTTATTCCCAACCACTTTAAAATGTAGAAATCACTGACCACCATTTATGACCCCTAGTAAAAATATAAAGACTTAAGCCCACAGATAAACAGTCACTTAGGGGTTGCTGGCATTGTGGCATAGCAGGGTAAGTCACCATCTACAACTCTGGTTTCAGTCTTGGCTGCTCCACTTCTGATCATGTTCCCTGCTAATGCATCTGAGAAAGCAACAGAGGAGGGCCCAGCTGCTTCAGCCTCTGTATTCATGTAGGAGAGCTGAATTGAGCTTGAGCTCAGGCCTTGGTCTGGCTCAGTCCCAAGTACTGTGGTCATCTGGAGAGTGAACCAGTGGATAGGAGATCTAACTCTGCTATTCAAAGAAGTATATAATTTTTTTAAAGCCACTTAAACATTTTAAACATTGTTCCCATATGGCAATAATAAATCTCAACTCTACTAGCTGCCTCTTCTACCCACGGCCACCAGTGCCAGCCACCCCACTGCTCTCTACCCCTCTACTTCCCAGGCTGGCTCCATGCTGGTTCAAGGGTCAGCACACTGAAGTCACAGTGAAGATGGTTGGGGGGACACAGCTAATGCAGGGCTGTCTCTTCCAGCCCCAGCTCCACTGCCTTGATCCTTGAGCATGAAGGAACTGCTAAATTAGGTTGGCTCAGCATGCACTAAATAGGACAAACCCAACTCCTACGTCTTTTCTCACGTCAGTGGACGAGCGTGCCGATGCCACACAGAGGACACACACCCCCGCCTCTGGAGCTGACTTGCCTGGTGGCAGATGGGGGTACAAGGCAGCTTCCTTCAGCCCCGTGGGTCCTTCCTGGGAAGGGTCCAGAGAGCTTGGCCCCTCCGATGCGGGCATTTGCAGGGACTGCAGTTCACCTGTTGACGGGTCCACTTCTTTTGAAGACAAGTGAGTCCAGTCGTCATCTCCTCCCGAACAGTTATCAGACTCCATCTGCTCCTGAATACAACCCACCATGAGGACTCGGGGCTGGCCACAGCCACATGTCCATCCCAGCAAAGCATCAGGGTGTGGGAGGCCAGGAGCTGCTGGCAGCGGTTAGCCACTCACAAAGACCAAGCCTGAAGTTGTAGCAAAAGGGCAGCGTGGCAGAAGTGCCACAGGCACAAGACCACTACAGCAGTGAGGCCCCTCAGATTGAGTGCAGCCAGGAGGGAACAGGCTCACCTCGGGCTGGGACCCAGGCTCCAGGGCTATCTTCTTCATCTTCTCTGCCAGACACTGTGCTGTGCCCTCATTGTTCCCATCCTCCTTGCTGGGTTCAGAGGAGCAGCTGCTCGGCTGAGAGCTACACTTTTCTGTGCTGGAACTTTCTGGAGAGGCAGGTGTCAGGCGGCTTCTTTTCCCTCCATGTTCAACATCAATATCAACTTCAATACCTAGAGAGCACAGGGAACAGAGGGCTATGAAGTCTTCCAGAAGGACCTCAGCATGCTGGGGGCTGCAGGCAGACAGCTGTCTCACACTCCCTGCCCACTCCCCAGGGCCCAAGCAGCCCTCTGCTCAGCTGCTTTGCCTGATTAAGTGTACCTGCTCATTTCTCACTAGATCATTTACCGCCTCCCTCCCCACACTTCTGACCAGTCACATCCAGTGAAAAAAGCTGGGCAACACTTGAGTTTGTACAGTGTGTCTTCCCCATGTTCAACTGCATCTCCAGCTTTCTGGGAGTGGCCCATCAGATAGCCCCTCAGAGTGTGCCAAGCTCCAGGCCTGGCTACTGCTGTGGCCAGGGGCAGGGCTCACAGCCTGTGACCACCTCTCCTTCCTATTAGGTCCCCCGTTTTTAATGTTTTTGTTCTTCATTCTGATTTAAGTCATTTTGTTCCATTCAAGGTCTAATTTATGAAAACCTTGTATACTAGAAAGAGATCTTGCTTTGCCCTCATACTTGATCATTTTGGCCAGGCTAAAGTAGAAACCCATTTTCCCTGCAACTCGAAGCACTGGTTGTTGCTATGCCTTCCAGCTCCCAGCAGCCTGCATTTCCCCTCCCAGAGGACACCTGATACCAGATGAGCGAGGCCTCGCTCAGTCTTTGTCCACCACAGACAGGAAGGAGCCTCTTCCCATCTAGAGGCCAACTCCTTCCTTCATCTA